AGGTATTTTGTTTGATTCCATGCCTTCCTGTGGCTATGAATGCCACAGACCGGGGCATGCTGTGTGAGCTAAATGTTCCTTTTGTTTCAAGCCGACCTGCTTCTCTCTGTGGTGCATGCCCTGTTGCTCCTGTTTCTTGGACAGAGTGGAGAGGAGGCTGGCTCCTCCATAGCACCCCTGCAATCTGAAAAACTGCAGTTTAAATACTCTTCTGTCAGTGGCATGCTCCTAGTTGGGCAGTTCTACTTTAAAAGAAAACCCTGTCTTACTATTCCAGTATGTCATGAACTGGTTTTAACTCTCGTGATAACTTTAATGAATCAAAACTGAACTGGTTTTACCACTCTGTGATAAACAGTCCTTAATAAGAACTGCATCCAACTGTGCAGTTCCCTTTCTGTTACTATTGCTCAAGAAAGCTGCACATTATTCCTACACGACTGCTGTTCCCAAAGATACTGTACATTCAAGCCCAGCCAACACATGTAAGGAACACAGGCTCTTTGGTGACCACCTCTCTGGATGACAGGGATTGAGAAGTACCCACTGTCATAAAGTCACCAAAATGGGTCTTCAGGTGGAAAAGCTTTTCTACTTGCATCAAATGTTACAGACAGCAAATTCGTGAGCAATGGCAGTTCCATCAGTAGGCAACTGGAAATCTGCTGGATTCAGTAAGGGTTTGTTAGTAACTTCATTAGTGCCTGTAGCAGCTAATGGAGAGGAACAAGGCGAATGCATGGTTAACAGCTTACCTTTCACATAAGGGACGTATGGTTTCTGATAATAGAGTAGTAAAAGCCTTGCAGTGGGTTAGTTTGTTGTTTGAGTTACTGTTTTATCACGAAGCATCCTTGTAAGACAGGGTTTCACCAGTGCAGCTACGTCAGCAGTGCCAGTAGTCTGTAAGAACTGTTGATTCCTTTTAGCTTAGTCACAAAGTTAGGGACATAGCAAAAAGATTTATGCTCCTGAACAGAAATACTCCATTTAACCCTGAATCTGATGAATTAAGGAAGGATAAGGAGGTTTTTTACATGTGTGTGAGAGTATTCATTTGTAAATCTCTCTCTATAGCTATATATAGGCACAGATATATATTAAAAGGCCCCCAAAGGATCTGCAAATTGAGTGAATTATACCAGTTACAATTAAAGTAAAATATATGCTATATATTTATTATTAATATCCGAACCAAAGCAAACTGTGGTTGTAGTACAGTATTAACAGGAAATATCCAGCCTATTAGTTAGTGAAACGTATCTGCCTGAGCTACTGCTTGGGAATTTTTAATGTATCCAGCTGAGTTCCTGGTTTAAGTACTTTAGAGTTTCTTCTTCACAGAAGGCATCTCCTTTTAAACTCGTTTCTCTTACTAATGCATTATCTCTTTATTGTGCATCAGGAATGATTCCTCCTCTCCTTTAACAACCTGAGTATCACAGCAACCTAATTAGTAGGCAGATATTCAGAGGGAATTAAAAACATGGCACTGGGAACTGGACAGTTAGCTGATGAAAAACTCCCTCAGAGCGTGCCAGTGCACATTCACACATGCATACACTTCATACATCGTATTTTAGGGACCAGCTTGAGCTGTGGGCATTGTGATGACAAATCTAGCCACTCGTGCTAATTTCTCCAGGTTTTTTTCTCCTGAGCAAAGCTCTTTCCTGGCTAGAAACTCTGCCTTAACTTCTGGGAAACAAGTTAAACTCCCTCTTCGGGAGAGACTGAGCAGAATGTGGTAGATTTTACGGTGACCTGCTCAACTGTATGAAACTCTTCCAGCAATGTCAAGTGTTACGCAGCGCTTTCAGGGTTTCAGCTCAAGTTCTTGTGCTACAGGCAGCTCCTAGGATACTGGCTGCCCGCAGACAGCAATGTTTGCTGAGCTCCAGCGAGTGACAGCAGTGCCGAGCTAGCAGCTCTGCGCGGCCGCTCAGCTCACCCCTCTTGCCTCGCATGGGGAACCTCACATGCTCTTAACCTGCCATTCAAAAGGCTTTGAGGCACAGACACTATCACAACTTTGAGCTCACACACAGGAAAAACAGGGATGCAAAACAGAGTGAATGGGGAGAAGCGCTGCTTTGAAAATAACACTAAAACCTGTTAAATTCTAACATGGGTAAGATTTAAACTGCCTCTGGGAGTGGTTAAACTGGGTAGGGAAGCTGGGATTGTCAGTATTTCCACAGCCAGACACCTCAAATATACCATTTTTGTTTGGCATGTCAGATGTTTGGATAGGATATAAAAATGGGCTTCCTCGAGCATCCCTGCAAACAAAGCACTGGGCAGCGAGCCGCCTGGCAGGCCTCTGATGGGGTGCTCATTTCCCAGCAGTAGCCGGGACAAGACATTTCAAGAGAAGGCAGAGGAAACCCAACCCAGGCAGTTGCAGAGTATTTGCTCACCAGAAGTATTTTCCTCTCTCATTCAGAGTGGTTTCTGGCTCTCCAGGCCTTGGAGTTTTTAGTACCTCTTTTGTTTCTCTTTTAAATGCATGTGTGGTCATTATCCATATAAATGTCACTATCGTGATCTCTTTGAGCTATTATCTTTCCAGTGAAAACAACTGCAATCTTTTTCATCTCCTTTCAGATAGAAGCATTTCCAGGCTCCTAAAGTATTTCTGGCGTGTGGAGGACAGTGTCTCCATGGGTGCCGCTTGAAGGGGCTGGTAACCATGCTGTAATCTGTGGTTGCGTTTTGCTGGCACCCACTTGCAGCTTCGAAAGAGCCCAGAGAGAGCAAAGGCTCTTCTGTAGGTCCCAGCAAATAATCTCAGCCCCATCTTCATGCAAGAATTCACCACAGACACGCATCTGAGAGCATTTGCAGCAGATTCAGCTTGTAGCTGCGCTGCGCGACAGCTCGTTTGTGTTAAACTATTGCTCTACTGAGACCTCTGAGGGAAAACTAGAGCCACACGGGAGCTGACCTTAGCGTTTAGCTGCTACTCAGCACATGAACTCGGTATTTTCCCCCCGAGCAGCTGCTCTTCAGATCCGGCCCAGGCTCCAGAGAGCATTTTCTGTCTCTGACCTGAAGAGGGCACAGGTGGCCCCTGCGTTCCCTTGTCCACGTTCAGCAACTCTGCAGCCTTTGCAGGGCAAGGGCCATCCCAGCTCTGTTGTTGGGATTATTTTGCAGTTCTTAGGTATTTGGTTTGAAACTATCCTTGCCTTCAGCCATTTAAAAATACTGTCTGAATTCTTCAGTTTGGTTTGGGGATATTCAGAGTCTCTGTGGTTTCTATTATATGCCTTCTTTTCCTGTTTTGGGAGATGGAATTATTTCAGCATAGGACGGGCTTTGACTGGTTGATTTATTTAAGCCCCTTTTAATAGAGTGTCAGTGTGACAGCTTTTGGCAGTGTTCCTCTGCCTCTCCTGTTAAATTTGATTAAGCTGTTGTCACCATTAATTCACAGTTCATCTATATTTACCTCTTGAATGCTCCCATGGAGTGCTTAGCCCTAAGTCAAGCACAGCCTCACTCCCCAAGTTTAAACTCCAAGAAGCTGTTGCACAAACCGGTGAGGAACTGCTATTGCAAATGGTGGTTTATGGTGTTGGAATGCCTTGTGCAGTGGTGGAGGAAGACACCTGTGAGAGATCTGATCTGGGTTTTAGTTCATTTTTAGTGCACTTGCAGTGCTTTTTGCTCAGTATTTCTTTCCAGCCCATGTATTATTTCCTTCCAGTGACATGTGTTAAAACATGCAGGGGTATTTTTATCCCTGCGCCTCAGGACCTGTACCTGTGAAGGTTCCTTTCACAGGGTGGCTCTCAAACACACAGGTGGTTTTTCTTGTGTCTGGATGTTCTAGCCTTGCCCAAAGATCTGCTGCTTATGTTTAGCAAAAGCTCCAGAGGCAGCAGAGCGTATACGGTGAATGTAGTGTCCATACAACCCACACATCTGACAGTGTAACGATGGGCTTTGCAGGGAAAGGCCACTTGTCACAGCTACGGCAGGAAGGTAAAAGGTCCAGCTTCTACCTATTTACCGATTTACAGAGTTAGTGTAATACAGCTCAAAAAGAGGCTTGTACATAAGTGCCGTCCCATCTTTGGTCCCATCTTCTGCACCATGCCACCTCTTTGGCTGTAACTGGCCAAAAGTCAGCTCTCTGGCAAAGGGTCTGTCCCGTCTGGGCCAGCTGCTGTAGCACCCCTTGGTGGGATGGTCATGTCGTGGCAGGCAGGAAGCACTGAAGGTTCTCTGCTCCACTGGTGGCAGATGCCAGGGACTTCACGGGAGCGGGTTGGTGAGGATCTTCCTCAGTGAGGAAGTCAGTCCTTGGTGAGGACCACGCAAGGACTCAGTCTTCGGTGAGGACTGCCCCAGGGCTCCTGTGCTGGCCCCAGTCCCAGATGTCTGGTGGGGATTTTCCACCTCTCAGGTATAGCCACTTCTCAGGCTTATGCTGAGCAGTGCTGCCACAAGCAAACACTTACTCAGACTTTTCTTTAAAGGACGGTACCAACTGTTGCAGTTAAAGCTGTATTTCCAAGTCTAAAAACAATCCTACATGAGGAATAACTGAAGCTAATGCTTTTCTTTGTCGTGGCTGCAACTTGGGGGTAAAGCTTTACCCTGTTACAACTACGAAGACACTAAAACAATTTACTTGCATTTACTCACTTTATTTTCCACTTTTGTTTCCTGGACATGCATCTCAGCTCACAGAAGTTTAACTGAAAGCTGAGCTGTGTTGAAGTTGCTTGCTGAGAAGTGGTGTCATTTTGATCCTGTCATTATGGCTAGTACAGGAGCTCAGTGGAAAGGAATACAAATCCTTTTCTGTTTCCTCCTAATGAAAACCTGAAAGCAGCACTACATCTGTTATCTTTCTTTTTCAACCTAATTTCTGCCTGCAAAATAAATGTTTCTATATTCCTGTATTATGGAAATAGCACCTTTCAAGTATTTCATTTTCCCATATTGTGATGTGATATGTGAAGTTTTTCTGTCTTTTCTTTTTCTAGGCTTGCTCCCAACATAATCTCTCCACTTGTCAGCCCCCTGAAAGCATTAGTTCCACCTTCCCTATTGCAGAAACATGGTTCTCCGTCATCACACAGCCAGTCACCAAACGGGCAGCAATTTTCTGGAATACCAAATAAACCATACACGCAATTTCAAAACCAGTCTGTACAGCAGGGATCTCAAGGTAACTCTTCCCTCTTTTCTTTCTTTTCCTAATTTCTAGGTGGGGAGAAAGAATTTATTGCAGTTTTTGCATTTTTGGCTAATACTTATATATTGGCCAAAATATATGTTTTCTATACCTATATAATAATACAACTATTAAGACACTGAGAGCATTTCACTGGGAACTCCAGTTTTTAAAGTGGCTTGATACACACAGAGCCAAGCGTTTAGACCAGCTCATGCTATGATATGGTATCCCAACAGGGGAAGTTTCCCCACTGCAGATCTCTTGCACTTAGGTTTTTCAGTAGGTTGCTACTAGCCATGCACCTCATCTGATTATCCAGATGAGATGAGATGAGGATCGTCATCCAGCCTTCCATCAGCTTGGCGAGAGGGACTCTGCCAGAGCCAGAGCCATCTAGTCCCAAAATATATGGGCTGAAGGAGACCTTGGCAGTGTCCTCTCAGGCCACTGACAGTGATGCACTAAACATGAATTTAGAGAAATAGTTTGCTATTTGTTATTTGGAAGTTGAGCACCTGTGTTATTTTATACATCAATATGCCAAGGCACTGTGTACAGCTACAAAGTACCAGTGTGACTTGAGGACAGGAATGACAGCAGCTAAGCACTAAGCAGCTGTCCCACTGCTTAATTTAAACCATTTTTCAATCCGGATTACTCAGCCTTTTTCATCGGGAGCTTATTTACCTATTGCAGAGTTGGGCTGTGGGAACTAAGTAATGGTTCTGCAGTTTCTGAAGTATAAATTAGCGAGAGATATTATTATCAAAGATACTTCCAGTGACAGGAGCTTGCATATTTGAGAGCTCTGTTCTATAATCCAGATGGAAAGCTGCTTAAGTGTGGTAAATAGCCACAAGAAAGAAGCATGCAGGACATGTCTGGTTGCAAGAATAACCAAGCATGTAAGTTTATGCAGGCAGACAAGCAGTTTTTTGGGAACTTGTTTCACAGCTGTACTGTCACTTATATAAGGTAATTTTTGGCTGGCAAAGTATCACATGTGATCTATTTACCAGTGGGCACAACAGGTGGTTTGGTTTCTCTCAATAGATGCTAAGGGTAGGTCTGAAACCCAGGGCCTGAGCACAAACTCAGTTAGCAATTCATAGCTGTAGCGGGGTTCAGTATCCCAGCAGTTCCCTCAGACTTTCCTTCTCCGAGGCTCATTTTTGCTCTTTGGTTGGATTGTACTTAGTCTGAAAAGTTAAAGCGTATTATAGGAAACGATTTGTGCTGAAGGAAAAACTAACTCAACCTGATGCTCAACAGATTATTCAATTTAAAAAGATTAACTCTAAGGGAAAAGTGGCAGATTTATGATAGCGTATAATGATATATGATTATGTTACTATAATGAGCTAAATAACTACAAACCACAAGAGGAAAGTTTAACAGCTCATTACTATGGCAGAAACAAATGCATAGACAGAACAAGTTTTGAACCACTTAAATAAATTGACTTTATTCCTTAAGAAAACCACATTTCCTTTTGAATGAATTGTTGCTTTCTAAGTGTTATGTTGTGTGGTTTTGAAAAAGCCATAATTTTCCACTTTGACCAAATGTTGAAGTATTATTATAAATTCATTATGGAAATGGTCAATCAAAAATCAATTTTGATTAACAGCCTTTGAAATGAGTTCATGTGTAACCTGTACTTAGCTGTACTGGCTCTATGTCTTTTTTTTTCCATCTAATGGAATTTTTGCTATTCTAATGGAATCTAGTAATTTGTGAGTTTTGAACTTTTGGAACATTATATACATCTTTGTGTGGAACTCTGCATCTATCTAGAAGCATAGAAACACTGGATGTGAAATGTTTAGAAGACAGCGAGCTTTGTCGAGCTGGTAGCAGATATATTGATAATGAAAGAATAAGCTGACCTTACTTAAATGTTTAAACCTCGTTGTAGTAAGATCACATGGAAATTATTACATGCTGAAAGAATTTGGCAGGCAATGGAATCCTGTAGTTATTTATATCTGACATGAGTTCTTGTCAGAAGTTTTATGGAATTTGAAAAGCTGAGATTTATTTGCACATACATGTAAATGACATGACATAACACGATGGCATTTAATAGGCATATTTCAATTATTTGCTCATTACATCATTCATTTGAAAGCTGCTTGAAGTTTTCTAGGCTGTGCCTTAGAGAAACAGAGGCAGCCAGTGCACCGTGTGAAGTGGTTCACGGCAGCTTTTCTGTCACAAATTATTTCAAAGCAAATTTTTAACTAAATGTTATGTTTGGAACTCGGTTTATTCCTTTATTAACTGCTATATTTCTACATCTACTGTCCATAAACCATTTCATAGCGATCCCTTAAACTGACAGGACATTTAGTAAATTCTTCACTTGAAAATGAACCTCAGAAAACTTTTGATTGAAATCAAAACTGAAGGAAAACCTGAAATCCATGTGGAAAAAAAAATATTGGCGAAACACTGGTTGCCAAATGTGTATTACACTTCTGCGCTCCGAGAAGGAGCAGGCTCTTTGCACCAGACAAGCCTTCTTGCTTACTTCATCTTAACCACTGAAGAAAGCCTTTTTCAAGAACTAGTAAAAACTGCTCCATGTTTAGTTTACTCTGATCCATATGTGGTTGTTAATTGAACCGTTAGTTATGGGATATTAATCATAATTCCTAATACTTTCTGTGTAAGCCACTTGAAGAAATCCAAAGGAACCACAACTAAATGGCACGAACCAAAAGCACCCTTGTTTCATACTGCACATTTTAGAGGTGTTATAAGTGCAGTAAGGCTCTGACTTGTACTACATATGCAAATCAAATGTTGTAGTGCCTGCGAGCAACAAGTTTCATTTCCTGTGGTTGTGTAAAATGAATGAAACCTTATCTGGCAAGAGCGGCTGTTGTTAACAAAAGTCCTTGTGGTTGCTTTAACTCACATGGCCTTTCCATCTCTTTTCTAACTACTTTGGGGTTTGGGAACACTTAGTGCTTAAACTAGCTGGCAGTTTTCCCTTTTTAATAGTGTGAAAGATGTGTGAGGCTCAGCTCCTCTGAACAGCCTGACTGGCCTCTTGAGCCATGCCGTGCTACTGAAGTGCATCAAGAAGAGCCAACCTACCTGGTACCAAAAGAAACTCTGATTGTTCCCCTGAAGCAGTGGTTGGAATATAGAAAGTATGTAAAAAGTCATGAAAACAGTCTAACTGACATAGCAGCTCCCTGAGCCTGCAGTCCTTCAACATGGAGGCATGCAGTTTCAGTCATTCCAAGACTTATTTCCACCTTCAAAGATTAACGTTCAGCTGGCTACATTTTGAAACACAGCTTTTAATACAACAAGCACAATTCTTCCTACCCAGCCTCTGCCCCTTTCTAATAGGGTCCCACTGTCTCATCATTTCTCTGAAGCTCATGGAAAAGGAAGCTTTTGTTATACTGCTGAGGTCAGAAGGATTAAAAGTCCCATTTTTAGTGCCATGGTTTGTTTTACCTGACCAGTGACCAGCACTGCAACCTTTCCCTTCCTCATGCTGACGTCTTTCTTTAGTTTGCTACCTGCATTTATCACATCTTCAATCACATTAGAATTGGAATGCTGCATTTCTCTGTATTTCCTCCAGGAAGCACTTAGCAGAAATTTGCTCCTGGTCATTACAACAGTGAAGTAACACTAGTATTTTCCTACATTGTGTCTCTTCACTGGATACTTCCAGTAACTCTTTTTTATGCTGCCTTCTCAGATTATCACACAGTGATGCTGAGGGACAGATGCTGCAGTCCAACAGAGAATTTGAACGCTTATGGAGCATTTTAGTTCTTTCCAGACTTCTGATTCTGAGGCAGTTCTCTGCCTCAGGTATGTTTTCCTGAGCAGCTAGACAGTGAAACTGAAAACACTTCAAAAGAAATCTTTACTCATAGGTCTTGAGAAAACCCTGGATCCAACTAGTTTCAATCCGGTTCTGTCAGGCTTGGCTGGTCTCTGATTTTCTAAGTCACTGTGCCAGCCCTGTAGATCATAAAGATGTTTAATAGAGCTAACAAAGGCAAGCCTGGGAGCGTGACAAAAGGGCAGCAATTACAGAGACAGAGAAAATACACGTCATGCCTTCCCTAGAAGTGATGTGTATAGCAGACTTTCTGGAAGAGGTTCACTTTTTTCACTAGCAGTGCGTATAAGTGCTCTCTGCAACCAGTTACACCTCGTCTGAAGCCAAGTGTCTCATTTTTTCTCACTGTTCATCTCAGAAGGAGGTATTTTTAGAAGGTTTATAGCAGGGAGTTCATATTTTGTAAACAGAAAAGTCAGGATAATTATCAAAAGCCAATCAATAAAGCCCTGTACCTAAACCACACCAAAAGATGGCTTTGCTACCTCTCATGAGAGCGCTTTGGTTGATTGAGCCAGACTCTCCAGGCAGTAAATAGAGGTGGCTGTCTATTTATTCCAAGGAAGGACATGCATCATTTAATACTCAGCTTTCCAAATTTCTCAGCCTTCTTCTATGTAGCAGCAAATACAAACAGCTTTGGTACAGTGTGTGTAGTGTCTTTATCTAACACAGTCATCCATTAGTACTTCACCAATCATGGATATCAACAGTTCAGGTATTTTGTGGTGGAGGATTACAGGTTCTTAAGAAATGAATCATCTAATCCATGCAGATTCTGCCAAAACACATATGAAACTGTGAAACTTCAGAGCAAATCTTTCCCCACTCCATGAGTTCATTGTATTTTTACTAAAGAATTGCCTCAGCCTTATTTATTACCACCTTAGAAAACATGACCAGACTGAACAGATGCTACCTATGTCCTTGGTCAAACTTTGGAATTAAAGGGAAAATGCAGAAAAAGACAGGAGATCTTTCTTAACAGGAAAAACCTTATACACTGCATGATTTGTAAGGGTCACATCCCCCCCTGTACATCACCCAGGCTCTTTGGTGATAGGCACAGGTATTTCATTTGTAAACAACCAGACTGAATAGCTGCACAACCAGCCCAGCAAGTCACTGCTGAGTGGGGCTGTGTTGGCTTCTGTCAGCGGCTGATGTGGTTGTGTCTCTTTGGCTGAACTACCTGGTTCCTTAGGAAACATTTCAGTCTGAGTAAGGCTGAGGGAAGAGAGGCAACAGCTCTGTATTTTTCCTGGCAAACAGAGGAAAATCCTGATAGCACATTCTACTAAACTTAAAGCCTGACTTGGTTGACTTCAGTTGCATATAAGGGAAGGAGAATCATTTCAGAGGGGGCTTTGAGAGAAGGTAAGGAAACACATAATATGACTGTGCAAATAGTGTGTGATGCACCTGGAATCAGGAAGAGGTTATTGAGGCAGGAGGAAGGAAAATCATTAAATCAGGCCACGGTTGGTATACATCTTGTGGCATGCTTTGAGGTTGTCCTTAAGGGAGCAAATAACATTTTCTTTTAGGATGTTGGCACATACTTCCAAGTTGTAAAATTCCTTCCTCAGCAACTCATTTGTCCTTTACTGTTACCTGCTTTCTTTTGTTGTGCACAAGTCACAGTTTCTGCTGGCAAAACCCAAGGTACGTAGCTTTGAACACAAGTGGGCTAATGACTGGGTTCAGCTGACCCACTACTTGAAATGAAGCACACCCCTGAGATTTTTGCTTGATGGGGGTCACAGTCCACAGCACCTTGTGGGAATGAGTCTGATGTAGCTTCTATATTATTATGCCTTATAGAACAGCGTGATCATTATTGCATAGTTTAAACTGAGGGACTAAAAACCCCCACAATAGTAATGAAATACTGTGACAGAAATAGATCTAATACAGTTACAGTGGTGTTAAAATGTGTGTGTGATATCTGTTTTCAGGTTACCAAGGCAGCTTTCACTCAATACAAAACTGTTTCCACTATGGAGACTGCTACAGAACAATGGACCAGTCTGTCACCAGTGATGTCCTTACAGGGGAATCCCACTGCTTTAATCCTCTGAGACAGAATGGCTATCACATACTCAATGCACCTTTAGCTTCAACAGGTAATTTATTCTGCCTATAAAGAATTACCCATGTGATATTTTTAGGAGGAGGGGAAAAGAACACATTTTATAGCCAATGTTATTACAAAAATATACTTGCATAAAACCCTCAGTCACTGAAATTCATTTGCATCTATAAAAATCCCAGGAGAAAAGCTAATTTATTTTCTTTAGTCCAGCTGTATTTGACTGATGGACAGTCAAATTCTCCTTTCGCTCTGCCGGATGTCACAGGCAGCACACACCTTCAGGAGAGCTGACAAACAGACACCTCTCACATTCATCGTGTGGGCTATTCATGGTACATCTCTGCAGGTAGGCTCAGGGAGGCTTTTATAGTCAGATCAAAGTTAAGAAGATAGATAGTTAACACAGCTCTGAAGAAAACAGCAGCAGCAGGAGCTTTTATTCCTTCAAAGCAGGAATAAAAGGGTGGCTTTGTTTCGCAATCCTGATGTTTACAAAATGGGAAGGCACTGCTTCGATAAATTCAGCTAAAAAGACCAGTTTGGTTTTGTTCAGCAGTTCCTTTGTGTTTGTGCTTTGCACATTCATGGCAATTGTGTTTTCCCATTTAACTACATATTTGCATAATGTACAATTTACAACAAGTAATGGTAGCTGGATTACTATAGTGCTTCAGTATTGAAGTATTCATTTGTGTAAAGCATTGTTCTCTACTTTTAAAACCACAATTAAGATTTGACAGACTTACTGAAATCAAACAAAATGTGAGTGTGTCAGAGCCATGAAACACCATTTACTGGTCTCTTTACTTACACATCTCTCAGATATTTGTCTTCCATTTCTGAATTCAGGAGGGCATCTTGGTTAAGGACAATACTGGAAACATATGTTTAAATGCTTTTTGAAATGGGGCCTGAGTCAGACCACAAAATTAGAGTTGACTTTCCTGTTTGTTTTGTATTAAAGGAGAGTCTGTTCAGAGAGAGTGGGCATGCATTTGTCTGGTGTTCCACACTAGAAAGTGTATGCATCGGTAACGAGCACAAGGGAAAAGTTTAAGATGAAGTTTCAGCTTCAACTTTGAATTCTTTTGTGTTATTCATAAGTTTGATGTTACTAAAACACAGTTTTTTCATGTTAACATCAAATTTCAAGTGTAGATTGACAGCCTGCAATATTTAAAGAACAGACTAAATAAACTTTCCAAAAGAAATCGTAGGAGCAAAGAATAATACTATGGCAAGACACCAACTTCAACAACAGTTGATTTTTCTGTCTGGGGCTAAGCTAGTAAGAAATGTTTCTGTGTAGTATTTTTGGGTTTAGGGTGGTTATTGCGGTATGCAAATACTTAAAAGGCAGAAACATAAATATATATGAAACGTATAAATCTTATCTTTTCGTGTGTAAAATAGAACCATTCAGGTTTGCAAGATTCATCAAGGCTATGCATTAATTTTTGTTCAGGCTTTTATAGCACCATTAATATTAAATGAGATCTCATCTCCCAGGAATGCCAAATGTGACTGGCAAACAGCTGCTCCATGAATCATATTAACAGTCAATAAATTCTTATTTTCTGTTCTGGACTTTGGATAGTTTACTCTATCTGGAATCTAATAATGATTTCTGGGGTGTATGCTTCTCTTCATGGTTGTGTATCTACCCTGTATACAGGCTCCTCAAATGGAAATCAGCATAAAAGAAACACTTGCAGAGTCTGTCAAAATACTGCTCACTCCATTTGGAGTGGCACAGCATAAGGCAGATAAACAGGCTGAGTTCCTTGTCCAGAGACTTTGGACATGTGCTGCATGCCAGATTTGTGCAGACAGCAGAATCTGACCTGTAAACTAACAGTAAATTCATACGTCAGAGGAAAATGCAGCAATGTAAATAAGTAGAGAATTAGGTCTCAAATAATAAAAACATACCTAACAGTAAAATACCTGTAATTAAGTTCTAAAGACGGAGCCGACGGGGCTTTCTGAAACCAGGCCTGGCTGTGTAAGCCCGGAGGATCTGTCACTACTGCTGGCAATGCGGTGCTGCACAGCCCAGAGGCCTCAGTTAAGCCCCTGCAACATTTGATTTAGCCACATCCAGACACGCTTGCCTGCAGAGTCAGGCAGGTGGAAGACATGAGAGAAAGACTAAAAAGAAGCAAGAGCCCCATTTTCCACGCAGGGAACTGAGGCACAGAATAAGAGTTCCCAACAGCTCCACAGAGCTCCTCTGTCAAGCAGAGGATGGAGCCAGGTATTGGTGCTGTAACCATGAGGATCAGTCATCTAAAAGTGAATGTGATTTACAAAAGATGCATTTTCTACATCAGGCACTTAGTTCACAGGCATGTTCTTAACTAGAACAAAAAGCAGGTTCCAGTGGGGCATAATAGGAAATGTTCATGACCTTTGGGATGGGCAATAAACTTTTTGTTTCAGACTCCCTGGCATTCCAGCTTCCATAGCACCTGGTATCAGGCAAAGCTGTTCATTTCCACAGGGGTGCACAGCTCAGGGAGGCTAAAAAGCTGTGGAAGTAAGTTTTGCATTATAAAAGGAGAAGGGCAGAGAAATTTTTCCTCACCATAGTGGCTTTGTGGTAGCCTGGCAAGCACCAGGGAGCTGGGCCAGGTGAGGAGCTGGCAGCATGGTGGGCTGAGGACAATGTGGTGCACAGCTCCTTCCACACATCCCGTGAGCCTGACCTCACACACCTGATTTCTGCAGTATAGGGGGATCCAATAAATGCAGGATCCAGATTTTTTCTGAGTCTTAAGAGCAGCTGGGAGAGACATGGAACATTTTTCCTAAGTGCCATTAGAAGGAAACACACAAAGCAAGAGGACTGCATCACTTCTAGTGCACACTTACTAGGATCCTTGCCCACTCATTGTTTTGACATCCTATTCAGATAATGACTGTAAAGTCCCAAGAGAGTCATACTCTGATACTTGCACTTCACTTGCAAATGGGTAGCTTTCCACAGAAATGAATGGGAGCTTCATCTCCTATGACACAAATGTCCATGGAGATTAGTTTGTGTATCTCCTGGGTAAGGCTTTGATGGTAAACCCTATTGTCTTTTTATTAACACTGGGCTGTACTGTATAATCCCAGGCCTCAAACTGCGCTTCCTTCCTTATATGTACTATGGCACTAAGTCATGTCCATACAACTTGTCCTGCTTTCAGGCTATGATGCAATCTCTGAAGCACAGTGTGTATCGGAAGACATGGTCTCCAATGGAACTGATGAAAGTGGATTCTTCCAGAATGGCGCCTTTGATCACTGCTTGAATCACATTCCTTCCATCTATACAGATACCTAAGAGCAGTGCTGACCCTGTTGCCTTTATTATACTTATAACTGAGTATGTAATAACAAAGGTGTTGTTCAAGTACTTTTATTTAGTCTGTATCCCTATATGTGCTCATTTAAACAAACACCTCACATTTACCAAACCATTTTATACATGAATAGTCTGTATAAGATAATATTGGAACCTGTTCCTTTGCTGTGGCACTTTGAAATTCATGCTTTAAGGGAATGAGGAGCATTTCAAGCAGCTTGTTTTGTAAGTTCTCTCAGTAAAGTGTAAATGTAAGTTATATAATAAACTTGTAAAGAAGGGTTGTTTTTTTCCTGCAAAGTATGTTTCAGTTTGAGAATGTTGTTCCCTTTAATCAGTTTTCATTTAACTCATTGGTCAATTTGTCTCTTTTTTATTAACTAGAAGGATTTTTTTAATCACAGACCTCATGTATATAAAGATCTTCATTTGCTCGGCTGGTTTTATATTTTCAGTTTTACAAGAAAGCATTAAAAACTGGAAACAAGTGTCCTGTCATTTCTTAACATCAGCAGTCTGCCTGATAAATCCTCATATTACATTCTGAAATGGCTGAGAGAGTGATTTAAACAAAGCAGTGACATTTCAGTAAGTGTGAAATTATAACAGCCCACGTGTATGTGAAGGAAACCAAGGGGCTTGCAGACTTCCAGTAAAAGGACCAGAGCCTTCCAGCACAGGGCAGCACCATGGGCTGGCTCCCCATCACTTGGTGCCCACTGGCCCTAAACGTTCCCCCAGCCTCCCTGCTGCCCCTGCCGTGGTGGATGCATCAGCACAAGCAGTGTAAGGGAAGATTAAATGCAGCTGTGGTTGGCTCTGTGCCCTCACAAGTAAACATGTCCTCACCCCCTGTGAGATCAGGGGCATATTCATAGTGCACAAACACTAAGTGTGGGGCAGGTCACCTGAGTTCTCTATTCACAAGACCTGGAAGCTGCTCTGACTTCAGGCAGGGAGGGCTTTGGGAGGGCTCTCGTCCATCCAAAGCAGTTGTAATCAGGGGCTTCCAGAGGAACAGAAGTCACCTGCAGTAGCTTGGTTCCCTGTCACAGTGGCCCTGGCCTCACTGGGCTGCATTTCCAGCCTAATCATGATTCCTGGGAGAGACAGGCATCCTGCAAGGGAACATGTGCTCCCAATACATGCCAACACAGGCAGGTTACATATGAGCTCCTGAAAATGTGGGAAACAATAAGCAGGAACTGACAAAAAAAAAACCCAAACAACTGTTCTCATTTGAAAACCATTGCTTAGTTGGGCTTAATAAGGCACCGTAGGAGCAAGTGTATGATTAGCTGAAAGGCTTTATTCTGTCTCACACACAAGCCGCAATCTCAGGAGATGTGGGACTTTCTGTCCTGCAGGTGTGGGTGCAGCTTCACAAAGGAAAAAAGAGAGGCTGGGTTTGGATTAAATGAAGATAGAGTTAGCATCAACTTTGCTCTTGTACTATGAACACCAATAACACCAAATGCCCTAGCTGCCCTTGGCAGTGTC